CACACACACACACACCACACACACACACACACACACACAAAACTTCACATCACCTGCATCAGTTTCAAATTCATTGACAGTGCTGCCTTTGAATAATGCATATATTTTTAATCAATACTGTAGATTATTTTTTATTTAATTTCCACTAGTTTGTGTAAATCTCACTTGCTTTCATTATATTGTATTATGCATCTATCTTTATTACATCAGCAACCCTGCTTTCTATATCTTTCACTTTCACATATATCAGCACTGAACTGTGCAAAAAACATTCTTGTTAACTGCTTACCTGTAAAATATCTGAGCAAAAATTCAGAAAAATTCATTTTTATTTGAAAAATATCTGCATATTGGATATCTGGACTCTAAACACAGAACAACAGGTTTGAGTTTCATAAGCTCACATCACAAACACAACAAACGAAAGCGGAACCAAGCTATCAAAATCATGGCAGATCATTTGCACAGGTTTAAATATCAAAACTAAAACTTAAAGCAATGCTCTCGGTTCATTTTGACTCACATCACACACACACTGTCCATTAAAACTGAAAATGTGTGAAAATAATATCAAGAGGAGGAAGCACGCTTCACTTTTACAGTAAATAACAGCGCTTACAGTAATGCACTTAATAAAGGAAGTCTATAACAATCTATAAAGCACCATCATTTCTAGAGAAAATGTCACTGCAAAAAATCATGTTCTTCTTTAGTATTTTCGTCTCGTTTTCCAGTATAAATATATAAATATTTTTAAATAAAGATATTTGAGAAGCAAAATGTCTTAAGATATTAAGTTGTTTTTGTCTGAATAACTGGTTATAATTTTGTGATTAACATATTAATATATATGAACTAATCTTAGTATATTAATTGTATTTCAATTTTAAAATAATACATAACATTATATATAAAATATGACACAATATTATAAATTTGTATTTATATTAGCTGTATACTAATCTAAATATATAACAAATATATTTAATGAAATGATTTTTAATAAAATAATACACTTCAAATATTAATCTAAATATATTATTCACAATAATTAATATGAATATTTATTTATATTAAATGTATACTAATCTAAATATATTACATTTATTTAATTTACTAAACGACGCAATATATTAACACAAAAATATTATTTATATGAATACATTTTATTTTTTATATTAAGTCTTGTTTTCTGAAAAAGTTATCACAATTTTGTGACTTTATGCTTAAAATAAGAAAAAAAGATCTGCCAGTGAGGCAGGAAAATAATCTTAATTTAAAGGGAAAACCAGATACATTTTTGACCCATTTTTATATATTTTTTATATAAAAAATATATTTTTATTTTACACTATATAAGTGTAAAGTCACTTAATTTATATA